GGTTGCTTGCTCCACAATTCACTGCTTAGGTTAATTGTGACTTGTGTTTCAACCCTAGGCATGGCCTCTATTTATATATCACATATATAATTAGAGTCCATGTGAAACCCAAATTCCTAACCCAATTCTAATTACACTAGCCCTATTGCTTACATGGCTTGTCATTACCTCATGAGGTCCAATAATGGGTTTCATACTTGTTCAATCCAACACCCTTGTGTGTGACCTCATAGGATCCATTCTATTGGGTTTGGGACTATTTGACTAGCGCAAAGATCATTTATCATATCTAGCGACAGACAATGACCACCCAAAAGAATGAACTAATTATCTCCATAATAGTGATTCTTGATATATCTAGTAAATGCACTTGACGAAAACATAAATCCTTCACTAGACACTATATATGGCTGTCCAAAGTGGGTAACTACTAGCCTTTCATATCAATGGATATATACACTCAATTAATAAGTATATGACGTCTAGGACAAGAATCGACCCGAGCATTAGAATATCCTACCAATCTGCTTGATGAGAAATAAGATGATAATTCATCTTAGCATTTATCATTAGTAATAGTTTTTCTATGAGAAATCCCTATGTCATGTATTAGAGAGAGTGAAGGAAAGCTTCAGTGGTTAGAGCTGTCTTCCCGATTCTAGGAGATTCCGGGATCGATTACCATCACTTGCCCTTGTAACTCTCTAAACACCAAAAACAAACTAACCAAAAAAAAAATTAAAAATAAAAAAAAATAAAAATGAATTCATGTACTAGACCTTCAGCTTTTGTTAGATGATATTTGCAGTTTTGCACCCTACTAGTTTCGTATACTTTTAAATAAAGAAACTAACCACATTAATTACTTCTCTTGAACAACATAATTAATAAGTTAACAACATGAACTAATTGTAGAGATATCCAATTTAATTTCTCTTTAGTAATGATAATTATTGTCTTCTATATTGATAAAGTATAAAATATATTTCTAAACTCCAACCATCGTGTTAAGCTTTTGGTTGAGTTTGTTGGTCCTTTAACTGTCTAACATATATATTGTTGAGAGTTTTTGTATGTGCATCACGGACTACTTTGTAAATCGATTCAATATTTTCACCCACTTCAATGTACTAGCTTAGCCGTGTAGATTTCCAATAGAGAAAGATGTGTGTTTACCTCGATGTTCAATTCTGATCAAAATTACACCATTGTTAGTATTAAATTGGAGTTGATATGTGTATCTGGATTTTTGATATGCTTTCGATGGTATTATATTTTTTATTTATTTATCGTATATATAATGTAAGTGACATCTTGTTTGATCACACTAGCAAATTGTACTTGTCTTTGTTCAAGTGTTTTAATAGCGGATCGAGTGGCACACTATTTTGGGGAAAAGGGCGTAAGACTTGTGCGAAAATGGGGCTTGTGATTGAGCTTGAAGTAACACAAGCAGACATTTAGGTGGGCACAAACAAGCAGACATTTAGGTGGGCACAAACACGACTGAATTACTAGTTTTTAGCATCTACAGAGTTTAGGGTGTTAATATTCATGTGATGACACAATATTTATATAGGTCTAACAATAGATTGACATACAATGCGAATAGTGAGTGGATTAAAAAAAAAAAAAGTGAATAAGTACGAAAGATAGTGTAATAAAAGGTGGATTTGTTTTTAAAAAATGTGAATAAAGGAAGAGAGAATGTAAAATCGTTACATTCTTTTAAAAAAAAAAACAAATGTAAAATCGTTATATAGTGTGTAAGAAGTAAAATAGATTTTCCTAAATAGAAATAGATAGAGTAAAAATAAGTCAAACTTTTTAAAACGGCTTAAGATAGAAACTGAGTTGAACTTTTGAAATTGGAGATCTTAAACAATAAATTGTCATATATATTTACACAGTACAGATTATCCCATTGTATTTGATAGGGTTATATATCATTAATTCTACAATTGACAATCAACGAAAATGAAAAATATCAAACAAGAATTGATCAAGGAAGGGCTAAGAATCCAAATACATAAAATATGACAATTCGGAACATTCTCGATTCGTTGTCTCATACAACTTTTTGAGTGGATCCGTCGTCGCTTTATAATTTTATGAAAAATAAAATTCTTGTGCTGATTTTGTAACCTGTATCCGAGCAATAATCAATCGTAACCTCGCATAACTGGAGACCAAATTAAATGCAAATAACACCTTGTCTTTCGAAGAAATTCGAAAAACCTTGTCTTTCGAAGGAGATCGAAAAAACCTTTGTCTTTCGAATGAGATAAACCCTTTCTTTTGAGGGAAACATTATTATAACCTAAGAAGCAAGAAAAAAAAAAAATTGAAGGAAATAAAGATTGGGGCTTTCCACCGGTGAAATCCGATGAAAGCCCCTTTGAAATTAACAATGGAGGCTAGAGAGAGAAAAGAGAGAGAGGAGGCTAGGAGTTTTTTTTTTGAGTAGACTAGCTAGTTGTTTAACCACAAATAAGCATCAAATTATTTTTAATGAGTATGCATGAAAACAGAAATATTTACAATATAAGATAATGTGAACAAGTTTAATAGTTCATACAACTAAAACGGAGTGATTAAGATTTTAACCCAAGTAGGCAACTAAATTAAAAGTGAACTCTTTAACGATGCAAATTAAAGGGCAAAAACATGAATTATGAAGCAAAAAGATAGTGTATCGTGTATGTTGTACGTTGGAAAAGGTTAACAAAATTTGGAACCTATTGATAAGGCAAGGGTAAAAAAGTTTAATAAAAAAGTAAAATAGAGAACTCAAAGTTCGAGATGTAAAAGACAGAGAAAGTGCGACGGAGCAAAACACAAGAATCGCACAACACAAAGCAGTTATGCATTTTGGGACTCCCAACCCACACGAGCGGTTTTCGATTTCCATCCCACTCTTCCCCCCATAAACCCCTTAAACTAACTTCTAATAATTATTTTTTTTTTTTTTTTTTTTTTTTTTTTTTTTTTTGCTTATAAAGATGCTCTTTCGATATCAATTACCTAAAATATATGACTATTTGCTTATTAAGATTTTATTAATTTTTGTATTTATAAATAGGTGATTAATGTATATGAGATTTGATCCAAAAATTTTAACCAACTAAGATAAAAAAACATTGATTATTTATATGTTACAGAGTGTATATGTACATTATTAGGGTGTGTTCTATTCATTTAAGTTTCACTTATCTGAACTTAAATGAACTTATCTGAAACTATCTGAAGTTATTGAACTTATCTAAACTTATTAAAACATATTTTAGTTGTAATTTGAACTTGAAGAACCCTTATTAGAACTACCTTTTTTTTTTTGAAGTGAACTTATCTGAATTTATTGTTCTGAACTGAACTTATTTGAACTTATTAGACATGAAATATGTGAAGTGAGGTGAACAGAACATGCTCTTAGTAAACTTGGACACTAAATGCATTATCATGTGAAGTGACATAATTTACACATAAATTATTGTGAAAATTGCTCCATTTATACATACAGTTAATATCGCTATTTCAAAATAATTGCAACATAAAGCCAGTCACAGCTTTTTACACATAAATTATTGTGAAAATTATTCCATTTATACGTATAGTCAATATCACTATTTCAAATTAATTGCAACATAAAGCCAATCATAGCTTTAGAAGTAGTTTAATATAAGAATTTATGTACTAGGTTTTTTTTTTATTTTTATTTTTTTATTTTTTTTTTATGTAATAATATGTAATGAGGTAATTTATCATCTATGGGAGAGGAAGAGATATATAGTTATTCATTTATTTATTTCAAACTTTTAAATGTTATTTATGCACTTTTCCATCAAAAAGACATTAGGGGGAAGAGTGAAATAGTTGAATGTTGTCTTAATTTTGCTATTTTTAGAAACTGTTTGAAATTTCAATACATAGTGTTGCAATTACACGAAAAGACTGTACTGCATAGTAACTAGTGTCACTTGTGAATTCAATGATCAAAACATGGTATATTTCCTAATTAGCCTTTTGGTGATTCAAAGTATAAGAAGATGTCGAGCACTTCACTTGTATAAAATGACTTTCAATATTGACACTCAAGGTAGTCATATAAAAAACGATTCAAAATTAATGAATACTTTTAGGCCGGTCTGCATTTGAGTTCTTTCATTACAATTTACACTAGATTGGACAAATGTGCATTAAATTTTTTTATTAGTTCCATATTTTTTAAAAAGTAATGAGACTTTCATGCTAAATTTTAATTATTATTATTTCTTTTCTTTTTTAATGAGATGAAGTAATTGCATATAACAAATCCATTGGATTGCACCAAGTGTATAGCAATTTAGAATATACAACCCCAAATAACTGCTTACCTGTTTTGTGGTAACATTTTCAGTTGCTTAGAGATAACTTCTGACGTTTACATGTTATAAATTTTATTAAATTAAGCTAACCCATCGTTTCTTTTCTATTGTTACATTTTGACTTTGGTGGAGATAACGTTTAAAAACTTTGACTAAGTAAATAAATTACTGTAAAGATCAAAACTATATCATGGGGAATTTTATTAGATTCGTCAAATTGAATATATACATGATCAAAGATGTGCAGTGGAGACCGTGAAGCTTAATTGTAACAATAAAAAAGAAACATTCTTCCCCTTTGTTTTGCTTCATTTGCAAATATTTAGGTCAAACGAACTTTTGAAAATTTAATCATAAATTTCTGTTAATGTATAAAAGATAATATAATCAAGTGAGATTTTGTTAAATTCGTATCATCTATCATATATTTCACTAATAAGAGGTTATTAAAATTTTAAGTGTCAAAAATTGAAATATATATATACGTTTTAAGAAGCATCTAAGGGACCATAAAAAGTCTAACAGTTCCTTATGACAATTCATGTTAATTAGCCGACCAGAAAACATTTTAGGACTAAAACTATGTTGTTATTGAATAGAGAGAAAAGTAATTTAGAGTAACTTTACAATGGGTGTTAAATATTTATTGGTAATCAATCTTATGTAAAAGTTAGTGATTGGGCAATAAGAAAGTATAGGGAGTAACGAGTGGGCGTGTGGGTCAGAAATCAGTCTCAAAATGAGGAACTCTGACTTAAGTCAGACATACAAAGACAAAACCCAACAATAAACAGTGTGAGAGACTCGTGTGCCTTCATCTCCATCTCCTATATTTTCTTTTCCACCCTCTTTTTTTTTCACGCATTTTCATTCAACCGTTCTTTCCTTTCCTTCTCTCTCCTTTTTTTTTTCTTTTTTTTTCCATTTTCATCTTTCTTTCTCTCATTCCATTTATAATTAAATGGATGAAAACATGAATAATAATAGTCTCTTTTCTTTAAAGTCAAACTCGAACTCGACTCATCCGAATCCCCCTGCTCTAGACCTTTGCCTTTGTACCAACACCATAACAAACTGTCAGGATCATGAGAATACCAAAACCGGGTTTCCGATACGGTCCTCGCCTTCATCCGTTGAAGGGATGAAAGGCGAAAACTGTCAAGAATCTTTGGTGGTTGCTAGAAATGTACGCAGGCCTTCAAAGCTTTGTTCTAGAGGACATTGGAGGCCTGCAGAAGATACCAAACTTAAGGAACTTGTTCTTAAGTTTGGCCCTCAGAATTGGAATGTCATTGCTGAGAAACTTCAGGGTAGATCAGGTTTTTTTTTTTTTTTGTTAGTTTTAAATTGATAAAACATACACTCTGTTAATTCGTCTAGATTCAGTTGTCGCATTAATGATATGATTTATGTGACAGTTTTAATGTGTGACCAATTTGACCATTAATTTCGGATGGAGAAAGTGTATGCATGTCTTATATTGATTTTTGTGTACAAAACTCTTTTGATTATTTTATCTTGATACATTGTAGAAAAAAGATTATTACATTGATTAGTGGTTAAACTTTTGAGTCTCATTAAAACAAGTTTATTGAATAGTGGTTTTTTTTTTTCAGTTTTTTATAGCAAGATATTTATTTAATTAATTTAATTTGGAACAAGATTTGTTGGGTTCCGGTCAGTTTGTTAGTTACCTTATTTGAAAATAACTAATACTAAATTGGTTAAAAGTGACAGCAGTTTGCCATACTAAGCAACCACTAACATGCAAATTTTTAAACTTTTGAAAATCCAAAAATTAAATATATCAAAATTAGACAGTTTTCAATTTTAAAAAATAAAATAAAATAATGTGACAAACTAAATTTGAACTGAGAAAATATATATTTTAATTTTATGAATCAACTAACGAAGTTGGTGAAAAATACAGGAAAGAGTTGCAGATTAAGGTGGTTCAATCAACTCGATCCTAAGATAAACAGGAAGCCATTCTCAGACGATGAAGAAGAGCGACTTAAAACAGCCCAACAAATGTACGGGAACAAATGGGCAATCATAGCGCGATTGTTCCCGGGCCGAACAGACAATGCAGTTAAGAACCATTGGCATGTTATGCAGGCGAGAGAGGATCGTGAAAAGTCAAATTTGTTTACGACTAGAAAAAGAATCCACAACAAAATGCAACCACAACAATTTTATGATCATGGTCGTAACAACGAGTTTACGGCCATGATAAAAAAAAGTAATACTGGAAGTGACTCTACTACCAGTATTACTAGTAACATGATTAATAACATTAACGTTAACATAAATAAAAATGTGGATCATGATACTGGTGCATCAACTTGTACTGAACTCTCACTTTCTACTACATTGGCCGCGGGCGTGGGCGGGTATTTTTTCAGACCCGGAATCAGTTATGACCCGCCCGTTTGTGATCAGCAGCAACACCAGCAACCCTGCAAGGCTGACCGTCAAAAGGGTACTGTTTTTTTTTTCCTAACTTCTTTTCTCTTCTTTACATTATTTTTTTAAGGTTTCTTTTTCCCTTAAGAGGTATCCTAAGTTTTAGTTTACGTTACTCTTTTGGAAAACTTTTATTTTAAAGTGTTATATTTTGAAGAAAAGATTACTTACATCATCTTATTTAGTTATGAAATCGATAATTGATAAATTTTTTGTTAAAAGTGGTTAAAGTATGTAATCCACTATTTATGAAATCGACAATTGATAAATTAAGGTGTATGTTTTAATGGAACAAAACTGAAACATGAATTATCACCATCTCATTAAAGTTTAGAGATTTATTACTTACATAATACGGAGTATAATGTTGTCTATTAATTGTGTTGGCTTCGGTCTTGCCTTTGGCTATGCTTAAGATATACTTTTGCTTTAGGGAACAAGTTTTAAGATTTGCACCAAAAAAATAACCAAGTTTAAAGCTAGTTTTTGATTTTAAGAACCCATATATTTTCTTTTAAGGATTGAAAGGGACCGTTTTAGTAAAATGGATTGTTTCTGGTATTTGTTTAGATCATTTTGACTGGACACGTGTTTGGTTTAATAATCTACAATGAACGAATTACTTTGACTAGACACGTGTTTAATTGGTTTGCAAAAATGGATTGTTTCTGGTCTTCATTAAGAGCGTATTACCTCCCATAAATGATTATTTTGACCAGACACGTGTTTAGTTTAATAATCTCTAGTAAACGGATCACTTTGACCAGACACATGTTTGGTTGGCTTAATTATGGCTTAATTATGCAATAATTTGAACATTAAAATCTTTAGTTTTCCTTTGGTAAAATATACAAATTAAAAATGATATTTTTAAAATATGAATTAGTAATTAATCGCGATCAAACTTAGTTTAGAAATAGATAAAAATTCTAAATGATGTATTCAATGAAAAATCCAAGTTGTAGTCATTTGGCCTTTAAAAATTCTTCCTATTTTAACTTCTTTTTTTTTTTTTGTGAAATTACTGTCTAAATAGGAATAATTTTTAGAGAGTGGAAGTGACCTACTTAGTCATTGGCTTAAAGAACCAAGTACACATATTATTGCATGGTCGTCCGGAAGTTGCCGGCATAACGCACAGTCGTGTAACATTGTCAAATCATGCATTATGTATTTCAGTATTTGTCATTTTCTATCTGTTTTTGGCATAAAAGTTAATTAGCATATAACTATTTGTGCTTGTTACATTAATCTTCCTAGTAACTTCCATTGAATAAATTCAAAAAATTCTCTATAAAATTTAACAAATAATGCAGAAAAAACATAGACGATCTATGTTCAAACATTATAAATATTCTTTATACGAGGAGGGTTTTCTATAAAATGCGATTCAATGTAACAAAGAAAAAATCCGTACAAGTACAAGGTACAACTAATAACATATTGTAATGTACTGTTCTTTTAATTGTTTTTACTTGTCTTCAAAAAAAAAAAAAAAAAAAATTAAATAAATAAAAATTGTTTTACTCAATTTTGTATTACTGCTGAAAATGTATGTCCTTTCCTTTACCTACTTAATATTCTCATTTGATTTTGTAGGTTCAATTGAGGAAAGCATGTGGAAATCAGCAATGAAGGGAAATTACATTAATGCCCTTGCCAAACAACCAAAGGAGATGTTTCCAAGTAGGGAGGAATTTTGTGGACAATCCAATTCGAACTCGGGCGGGTCAGGAAGTGGTGACTCAGCTGTTAATAGTGGATACTCAACAAGTGCAAATGCAAACTTAAACAAACTTCCCTTCATTAATTTCTTGGGGTTGGAAGCTAATTGATCATTGTGTTACAAATTAAACCTTTTGTTATATCTAGTGGAAAAAGAGGGAAAGAAATGGTTAAGGACATTAGGGACTAAATTAATCATATAAAGAAAGTGGGAGAAACTTTGGTAGTAGTTTTTAACTGCTTTGAAGATATGTATGTATATATAGTAAGGTTTCATGGAAGTTTTAAGAGAAAAGGAAATAGAAGCATAAATAGTGATAGACATGTGCATTCTCTTTTGATTCATTCATTTGGGTAATTTTTTTCAATCTAAAGTGCAACAAATCAAGATGGTAATCAACTTATACATAGAGATGTCAATTTGGGTATGTATTCAAATCAGTTTATTTGGTTAAGTGATCAGGTCTTGAGTATCATATTCAGGTCGAGTGTCATGTAGCCTCCACCTCCAGTTCATGTGTAAGTTTAGGTTGAGTCAAATTCGGTCTAAATTATGGGGTTGTTAACCTTTTCAAGTGCAGGTTGGGTTCAATTCGAGTCAATTTCAAGTAGTCTAGTTTAATTTCGTCTTTAGGTTGTGTTGTGTGTTAGGTTTCAAGTGGAAAGGCTGGTAAATTCATGTTTGGGTCATGTTTTTGTCGGATAATTATTAGGTTCGGAGTTGGAAACTCCAACTTGAGTTATTTTGGGTCCAGGTTGGAAGATTAATATCTGGTCGAATTTAGTTAGACTTATTAATTACACTTTTCATGATTCGACCAAATGGTATTAACATGTTATAAAAAAATTAAAACTTATATTAGAACAGATAAAGCAATTTTACTTATAATAGTACTAAATTAACTTTTTTTTTTTATTATTGTTTAATATTTTACCATTTAGCAATTGGTTGTTGGTATAGTAGTGATTGGGACTACACTTAGTAGGGAGGACCCATGTTCGATCTCCCGCAACAACAATCGGGAGGGGACTAAAATCTAACCACCCACAATGAACTGACCCCCGAATCCGAATTAGCCCAAATAGTGAACCGGGTGAAACACAAAAAAAAAAAATTACCATTTTAACAAAATTAGATTATATTTAGTTGCACGAACTCGTATCACTAGTTTCTGTGATGGAAAAAGTAGGTTGGGTCAACACTTGATTCATTTTAGTTTCGGATTGAGTTGACAACACGGGTGTGATAAATTTGGCTTACGAGTTATAACAAGTCAAATTACTATATATTGGATCGGGTTGAGTTATAAACGGTCGGTTGAAGATTACTATTGAATCGGGTGCCAATTCGGGGCCAAATCATTAGGTTTGGCCAAATTAATTGTCTACTAATGTGTAGGTCAAGTACAAGTTTGGTTCCAGTAATAGAGTATTAGGTCAAATTAGTCGCAGATTAAGAGTCAGGGTCGTTTCAGTTTATGAGTCACTAGAGTCATTCATTGTATGAATACGCGTCAAGTTTTGGCTGGTCATTGCCAATATAGGTTGGTTTTTGGGGCCAGGTCAGTTTTTGACAGCTTTAAATCTATACTATACTGCCAAATTATTTGAAACAAGGTAATCTAACAGACATTCTACGGAAATCAATCCTTTTAGTGACAACAAATTATCTTATATACTAGCTTAGGCCTCGTGCCATGCACGCTAAGTGTAATTTTTTTAAAAAAAATTATTATGTCTAACAAATAAAAGTGATGTGTTAAAGTAATTTTTTTAATATCAATAATATGAATCAATTTCATTACGGAGTATCATTTTTTTTAGCAAAATCTAATGTTACTCCGTCTATCAGATAATTAAAAAGGAGTTAGATTAATATTTTAGAGAAGAATTATAAGCACAAAAAAAAAGGAATATTTTTGTCATAAAGATAATATAAAAGATTTGAAATGATATTATAATTGAATCAAATTTTCACAAAAAATAAATGGTTAAAAAGGGAAGGGGAATTTTGGAGGGAAAAAACAGCACCAAGATGTGACACGTGTCACTCCCGGTGTCTGTTTTAGTATTAAGTTTACAGAGTTTTTTTTTTTTTTGAGATTTGTGAATTAAAAATCCGTGCAACGCACAGGCTTCAGATAAAGAAAAATTAAAAAGATATTAACCACTTATTTTTTTCCAAAACACTAAAACTTCCCTTTGTAAAATAAAAAACACTAAAACTTCCCACCATTTTTACCAACCCGCATCAAAGATGTCGTCATGGTGGGGCCCACAAACGGCCATTTTCCCTCCTTTTTCCTTCATTCCTCTCTCAAAATTCATTATTCTTCTTCACCTCCTTTTTAATTCAATTTTGTACAAAAACTAAATTTGAATTACTGGAAAAAAAAATTATGGTTTCAAAACTCATTGTTTTTGCTTCAAATCTCCAATTAGGGGTGTCTATTCGGTTTTCCGTTTGGATTTAGGCCAAGTCCAATCCGATCTGAAATAAAATTCGGTTTTCCGTTTGGATTTAGGTCAATTCCAATCCGATCCGAAATAAAATTCGGTTTTTGATTTTTAAATCCAATCCTATCCGAATTTCTCATGAAACCAATCCGATCCAATCCGAATTAAAATTCGGTTAGTTGAATCCAATCCAAAAATTCGAATTCAAATACATTGCAAATTTTTAGGGACTGAAATAATTATAAAAATAAAATTTCAATTATAAAAAGCTTAGTCCCAAATACATAGTTGTATGTTTAAGAAAAAAAAAATACATAGTTGTACATGAGTAATACAAATATATTAAAAACATAATTTTACATAATTTATATTAATGTAATTACCAACATAATTTTACATGATTAATATAAAGTATCCTTATTTGTAAAAGCATGGTTTCATATTTCGGTTAATTCGGTTTTTTGGATTCAAACAAGGTCAATCTGATCCGATTCGAAAATCCAAATTTTGAAAAAGTTCAATCCGCCCAATCCGATTTAAAGTTTGGATCCGTTCCGAATTAATTATTCGGTTTGGATTGTATTGGATTGGATTTTGGTTTTTATCCGAATAATGCATGGACATCCCTATCTCCAATGCAGTTATGAAGAAAGGTTTGCCTGCAAAATACATGTTTTGAGCGACTTAGTTTGGAGGTTTTTTTAATTGAAATAAGGATTTAATCAATTTGAAAATTTGATTATGATATCGAAATTAATCAGTTGAAATTATGGTTTAATTAATTTCATTCAGTTGTAATCAAATTTGGCTAACCAAATTGATAACTAATTCCCCATAATTCATTTAGTCATTGAAAACCCTTAACCCTAATTTCAATTGAATATCATAACGAGCCAAATTGGAAACCCTAAAACTTAAATTTAATTCAATTGAAAACTGTAATACCTGAATATTTTATGATTTATACATATAATATTTTTATTGATAAATTAAGTTATTTTAATTATTAAGTAACCTTCCTTATCTACATAGTTTATTTTTGGAAA